TCTCTCTCTCTCTCTCTCTCTCTCTCTCTCTCTCTCTCTCTCTCTCTCTCTCTCAAATATCTGATACATAATACAAAGCCCTTTCACTGTTAATGGGTGCTTTTGAGTTGAACTGTTATACAGCTGTAGCTTAGTGTGTTTGTGTGTGTGTGCCTGTGTGTGTGTGTGTCTGTGCATGTATAGGTGTATGTGTGTATATGCTGTGGTGTGTGTGTGTGTATTTGTATACCAGAGAGGAGCCTCACATGTCCTTCTTTAGGTGCTTGTTCACCTTGATTTTTGAGACAGGGTCTCTCTTTGGCCTGGAGGTCACCCCAAGCAGGCTAGGTTCGCTGGCCATCAAACCTCAGATATTGTCTTCTCTCCCACCTCCCTGGGAGTGTAGGCATATGTAAGCATACACAAGTATACTTGGCTTTTTTGTTCGTTTTTACTTTTTTTTTTTTGAGACAGTGTCTCACTATATAGGCCTGGTTGTCCTGAATTCTATGTAGACCAGGCTGGCCTCCAGCTCAAAAGACTCACCTGCCTCTGCCCAGAATGCTGGGTCTAAAGGTGTGCACCACCAGATATACTGGCTTTTTTTTTTAACCTGTGTACTGTGCATATTGAACTCAGGTTCTTTTTTACTGACTGATCTATCTCCCTAGTCAGGTAGACTGTCTTCTCGATATGACTTTACAAAAAAACACCAGAGAAAACTAGTTCACACAGTAGCATGCTCGTGAAGACAGGGCAGAGGAGAGAGGGAGCGATGGGGAGGCTTAGCCTTAGACAACATGTAGCCACATGTACTCTACCACGGAGGAGGAAGGAGGCTGTGTCCACAGGCTACACATGTGCCTCAGCCTTGAACCATCTGTTTCTCTGTGTGGCTATAAAGCAAAGTGGACCCATCCTAGAAAGGGCAGAGATGGAGGTGGGGGTCCAATCAGAAGTGTCCAACATTCTTCTAACACACAGACATCTTTTCTCACCAGACTTATAGAGAGATGAACTTTGTAGGGCCAGGGAGAAAAATTCTACCTTTTTTTGGGGGGGTTACAGTTGTTTTATTTCTTAGATAGGGCCTTGCCTATATAGTTCAGATTGGTTTTAAACTAGTGACCATCCTCCCTCTGTCACTCAAGGGCTGGGATGACAGGCACACCTGCCTCACCTGGCCTCTACTGTGTTTTTAAACATATCCAGAGAAGATACTGCCCAAGTGTTACAAGCCAGGGTCTGGGCATCCACAGCCCCCTGGACCCTCTCTGGTTCAGATACAGACTCACAGTGAGTGATAAGAAGCCCTTCTAGATTGTCTTTAAAGCAATGCCCTCTGGTGACACAGGTGGGGGTCACTCAGCAGGCCACTGTTACCCCAACCTGCTCTGTGTTTCTGGAGAGGCAGCGAGCCAACTCAGGCAGCTGACACACAGGAGGAAAATCATGTGTATTTAGCTGAGAACAGAGAAAGCTGAGACAGTTGGAAGTTACAGGCAGACATGGATGTGGAGGGGATGATGCACTGGAGGACTGGGGCTGCACCATTCTCAGGACCTGGGATGCAGAACAGATTGTAGGGGCGAAGCTTACTAGTAGGACTCCGATCTTGCCAGTTGCCGGCCCAACCACTACTCATGAAACATTTCACAGCCCGGTCAGAGGCCTCCTGAGTCTCTCTGAGAGCTGGCTGTATCCTGAAGGGACCTTCTTATGGTGTACAGCTCTTCTCCACCCCTCCTCCCTGGAGAACCTAGGTCCACTGAAGGAATTATGAGCCTCACTAAGTGTCATCATCCTGTCCCTCACCCCCCACCCTGTCCCCTCGAGCTCCTTCCTACAGGCTTCTGCAGCTTGTCTCCCTACTGCACAGGGAAGTTTTCCAGGGATTCTAGCCTCATCTGGGGTCTCAGAACATGCGTATTTTGTGTCAAGGTGACTTTTCTCATCCAGGGCAGCCTAGGCTAGAGCACAGTGCCAGCCAGAGGGAGTTTAGGGGTTCAGGAGTCCAGGGTTCAAGCTATAATCTGCCTGTCTATTTTTAAGTCCCCATCTGTGAAGTGAAACGGATCGGTGCAGCTCCTTGACACCTATTCTGGCTGTGTTGGGAATCTCAGTGTTTGTCCAGCTCCAAGGGGCATTTCTAGTGCCCTTGAGGACACAGAGGTGAGCCAGCAAGCTAGTGAGTGAATGAGGAAAAAGAAGAGGAAGAGGAGGAGAAGAGGAAGAGGGGAAGGGAGAAGAGGAGGGGGAAGGAGGAAGGAGAGGAGGGGAGGAGGAAGAAGAGGAAGAAAAAGAGGAGGAAGAGGGGAAGAGGAGGAAGAAGGAGGCCAGGCTTCAGGGCTTGTATTTTTTATGTCTTCAGCAGCAGAGAGAGTGATTTTGAGGTGTGAGTTTGGAATGAGGTGATTCAAAAATGACTTTATGCAGAGTCACCTGATCTGCGGGAGCATTCACAAGGCAGAGTGAGTAATGAGTCCCTGCAGATGGTCTCTGGAAAACGCAGCCACCTTCTAAACACAATGAGCTGCAGGACTAGATCTATCTAGTGACAGTCACCTAAGGTGGCCTATCAGGGCAGAGCTGGGGCAGAAGGAGGGAGGGCCAGAGTCTGGGAGGCAGCAGAGGTACCTCACTGCTGGCTTCAGCTCTAGGACATCCATTATGAGCCAGCCCAGGCAGGCCCAGCAGAAAGGTGGCTGGCCACTTTGGAGACAGCTAATGAACAGACACGTATAGTCACAGCAAAGCCCTGGAGAGATGACTATTCTGCCCTTCCTGCTGAACCCAGAGTGACTTCTCTAGGTCTCTGGGATGACATAGTGCCAGCCTTGTACAAACCAGACCATCCTCCCCTTCCTACATCTCTCCCCTACCCCCACATCTTCACTGTGCAAACCTCGTGTCTAGACTGACTCACTCTGCTTTAGCCCGAGCAGCACAGCCAAGGAAGGTCACACCCAGACAAAGAGGATGGTGTCACTCTGTCAATTCCATCGTCAAGTGCCAGGGAGCAGAGAACTCAAGCTCAGAGACTGTGAATGCAGGAGAGCAAATCCCTACTGCTGAACTGTAGGCAACAGACATACTCTGGGGAAGGGACAGTCATTTCTTTCATTTGTCAGTTGTGTACCAAATAGTGAGCCCAGTGACCTCCAAAACAGTTCAAAGCCAGGGACTACACAGACAGTCCTGGTTAAGACCATAGTCATAGAATAGAACAAAATAATAACAAACAGGAAAGGGAGCCACAGGGAGGACAGGGTGGTAACACAGGTGGGAAGGAGAAAGGATGGGTGGAAACAGACGGAATTCAGTTTATAAATGTATGAAATCACGGAAGAACACATTTCATTAATAAAACGTATACAAAACTGGTACTTTGTCCTTTAACTTGCTCAGACGACATAATGTGGGAGCCTGGGTCATGTAGAATGAACCGTGGGTGAGAAAGAAAAGCATCTTTGGAGTGCCAATAGTGAAGCTGGGCCAGAACTCCACAGAACATAGGGTTCAGGACGGACACATGCTGGGATGGGGTAGCCACATGCACACATAGCAAGATTGGGGCGTCTAGAAAGATATTCTAGGGATGGAGAGATTGTTTAGTTGATATTTAGAGAGGTAGAAGACCTGAGTCCTGTCCCCAGAAAAAAATAATTAAATGAGTTGGGGGTGGTGGCACAAACGTGTACTCCCAGGCTAGGGAGCTGGAGACTGGCAGATCTCTAGAACTCACTGGCCAGCCAGCCAGTTAAGCCTACTTGGTGACAAGGGGTCTCTTCTCAGAAAGAAGGTAGGTGACATCTAAAGAACACCACTAGGAGTATTCTCTGGCTTCCAAACATTCAAACACAGATATCACACACACACACACACACACACACACACACACACACACACATACATGCCTGTGCAGTTGCACACAAAGAACACACACAGAGTAGGTGTGGCTATCCTGGTATTCCACAGTGCAGACCCCATACAGAGGTGAGGTTATCCTGACACCCCACAGTGAAGACCTCACACAGAGGTGAGGTTATCCTGATACTCCACAGTGCAGACCCCACACAGAGATGGGGCTATCCTGACACTCCATAGTGCAGACCCCACACAGAAGTAGGGCTATCCTGACACCCCATAGCACAGACCCCACAAAGAAGTAGGGCTATCCAGACATCCCACAGTGCAGACCCCACACAGAGGTGGAGTTATCCTGACACTCCACAGTGCAGACCTGACAACCCCAGGATTGCAGAGTTTGCCATCCCCCACCCCCTGTCCTTTGCACACTGTTCTTTGGTGGGTTTTTCTGTCTGTTTATATGTTTGTTTGTTTTGTTTTCTTTATTTTTCCATGTTCTGGACGCTCATGAAGAAAACAATTAAGTGTAAGAAACTAAGAGGGAAATACGGGTCAGAGGAAACCCTGGCAGCATAGCATCTTATGAATACCCCTGTTCTGAGAACACTTTTTCCCAGCATTCCTTTCCTAATGAAGCATCTGTGTAATTTGCATGAGCCAGATGTACTTCAAAAATAGAGATTTGCAGATAGGGGAAGAATCCCCACTTCACCAAGACAATTCACTCCA